GAGCTCAGGCAGGTCGCGAGTGGCTGTTCGGCGAGCTCGTCGGTGCCTCCGTTGTTGCTTCTCCGGCTCGGCGTTGGTGGTACTTGCTTCAATATCGCCGAGCTCGATGGGCCCAAGAAGGGGCTCGGACTATTGATGATAGCTGTGAACCGAAGGGCCTTGCCTGTAATCCGCAGCTAGGACCTCAAACCGGTTTTCGGTGAGCGGGAGCTCGAACTAAGAGTGTTGAGGTGACGCGGGCCTAACCGGCTGGAAGGCCCCCGATTTGCCTGCAGGCTGCGAAGCGGGGGTGACTGGTCTCTCCTTCCTGTCGTGGGATAAGGCTTGGCTCTTGGAAGGATTCTGGGTTTGAGAGGCCTCTCCCTGGCAGGGGCGTCCGCTCTGATGGGGGGGCTTGGCTTGTTGCATGGCCGGATGCCAAGGGGGAAGCGGCTATTGGGCTTGAGGTAGTGAAGGGAACTGCTGTTGATACTGATACTGGGAAACTTGATGCAACACTTGTTGCTGATAGAGTTGAAACTGCTGGAACTGTTGCATTTGAGCTTGCATAGCTCGCATGCACTGCACCAGGTCTTCAAGCTAGTTTTGGTTGATCGCTGGGGGAACAACAGAAGGTTCAGCGAAGGTTGTTCCAACCGTGGAAGGGGGCGGAGCGTTCACAGGTGCCACTGTCTGAGGCATATTTAGGCTGGGAACTCCGTCCACAGAGAGGGGGACAATGAACTGTCCAATGCAGACAGTGGGGAGCTGAGGTCGCTCCCCATGAATGTTGAGTTCTTAGAGAAACTTGTAGAGATTAGAGGAAGGCTTTTTGAAGCGTTCCCACAGACGACAACAAATGATGCAACGTGATCCGGGCACTCCTAGCTGGCGGACGTCTAGCTCCTAGCTGGCGACGGACGGTACCTGAGAAGAGGAAGGTGATCTGAGAGAGCTGTAGGAAATGCAAAGAGAGCTAAGAGTGTAGATAGCGCTAGATCAGTTCAATTACCTCCGCCCCTTGGAAACTGGGGCCTTTAAATACAGATGTTCTTGTCAAATCGGGCGTAACCGCCACTGGCCCTCTGTTGCAGCCGTTATTTGCCAGGGCTGCGCAGGTAACCGTTGCAGAGTACTGCCCAATCAACTGAGAGACACGATCCAGAAAGGACAGGCACGCCGCCACCTGTCGAGAGACGTGGGTGCAGTCCGCTGGGCTGGCAGGGACTGCACCGTCAGTTAGGAGACATGGTGAAGTCTGATGGGTACAGTCTTGTCAGATAAGAAGCTTCCTGAAAACGTCGTGTCGCTCAATAGCGAGTTGCCTTGTAGCGAGCTCCTGGAGGTATTTCGAGGNGAAAACGTCGTGTCGCTCAATAGCGAGTTGCCTTGTAGCGAGCTCCTGGAGGTATTTCGAGGTGATTCCGCCTGAGGTTGCCTTTGAGGCAGTTCCCTTGCCTAAGTATTAGAGCGAGCTGATTCTCCGAGCTCGCAAGCTGGGATAGACTTAGCTTGGAGTGTTCCCTTTCAGCATACTGGGGTCCTTGAGCTTGCGCTGTAGTGAGCTCGTTCCGTGGCAAGCTGTAATATAGCGAGCTGACCTGTGAGGACTTTAACGAGCTCGTTACTCAGTTGTAGCTAGGCTGTCACGCTGAACTGTTACTACTGCAACCCCTATGAGACCTCCAATTAGAAGCCACAAACCTGTAGAAATTAGAAAGATCATTTTTTTAAACTAAACCTAGTTACATTGATTGGTTACCACCAACTGCCTAAAAACCAGTCAATATAACTAGGTCTAGTTCAAAAAAAAAAAAAAAATCAAAGACAAACATAGTTCCTTCTATTGAACCATTACCGTTAGAAGTCACCTATATTTAAATATGTCCAACCCAATATTTATCAAGGAACTACTAATTATACAATTGTTTAGAATGGAGATATCTGAAGGAAAAAATAATCCAATTATCTTTGTTCCATTCATCTCTCCAAATGTATGACAAGAAACAGGAAAAAGTTGGGTGAATATAATCAATTTACACCTTTAGACTCTTAATTAACTTCCCCAACTGAATATAATCAATAGGAAGTTACTAACGTAAAACCGAACAATTCAAAGCCATTGGATGAAAAATCCTCAAAAATACCTACCTCTAGTGATGCTCTGCCCTTTTGGGTATTTGTAGACTGTCTTGATCCACTTTTTATCATCAATCCTCGAGACAAGCCAGATCCCATTCAAGTCAACCCAACAGCCTACAATCTTCACCTACTCATTGCCCAACTTATTAACAACATCTACGCTAGAAAAGAACAGAGGACCCACCTCCACCACTAGTGAGCCTCTGAACGCCACAATCCAAACCATCTACCCTGGAACTCTTTGTCAAGTATGGTTAGAGGCTTAGAGCTATATCACACATATAGAAGGAACCAAGGAAAGTTAAAAAACTGGAATTGTGATTGCAGTATTCTAAATCTGGAAGTATATTTTCCCATATCAGTATTCTCAGTAAATCTATCCATATGGTTTAGGTTTCATTCTATTGATTTGTCAACCTTTTTCTGTAAAATCTTTTTAGTTTATTAATATGTAACTTCAATACTTATTCAGATGTCCTACATTCAACTATAGCAAAAACAGACATTGCCTAAACCTAGCTTGATTAAAGCAATATTATGGGGAGAACAACGGCTAAAAGGTTAAGAGCCATATATGCAAATTCTATTAGAAACCTAGAACCATTTGGGATAGGAAATGAACTTGGGGATTGTGAAAAGCATTCTTGTGTTTTCAGGTCTGATTTGTGAGGATGATTCAATTCATGGTGAGACTAATATTGCTATAAAGCCTCTATTCATTCTTGTTTATATTTAATGAGTTTTTGCTCAATCCATTTTTTATCTAATCATTTGCATTAATCCTTTCTTATATTCATTGAATTGCTTAAATCCTTTTATCATGAGACAATTTTAATGTTATGTTTATATTTATGTTGGTCCAATCAATAGCAGTTATGTTTATATTTGAGAAAACTCCATGGACCTGTATATGATATTCATGAAGAATTCGAGTTAGGTTTGCTCCACGTCCTTTGCTTTTGTTGACATTTAATATGAGAGAATTGCTGAGAGAAGATCATACCTGCTCAATTGATAGATACCATAAAATCTTGAAACTATAATTGGATGGTTGATTTTTTTGAAATTATTGTCTTTCTATTACTAATTTTCTTGGTTATGGTATATGAGAGAATTGCTGAGAGAAGATCATACCTGCTCAATTGATAGATACTATAAAATCTTGAAACTATAATTGGATGGTTGATTTTTTTGAAATTATTGTCTTTCTATTACTAATTTTCTTTTATTGGTTATGGTAGGAGGTTTCTGATTAGGTCCACCCAAGTTTCTTGCCAACATTTGATGCTTTTTCCTCTAAAGTTAATAGGTATGGAGGGGATCATCTTTGGCCCCCCAATTCAAGAATTTTGTATTTCAATCAACAATTGTATAAAATGAAGATTCAGATATGCCCATCAAAATAACTGATTTTCCACACTAAGACCATGTTGCCTATAAGTTCTTTGGGTTTGTAGGTGGAGCACACATTTAAATGTTATCATGACCCCATGCTTTGATGCCTATGTAGGTCGTAGACATGGTACATATGTATATGTGAGCCTATCTTAGTAGGGATAGAGTTTAGATGGTAAGACTGATTTTTATAAACTAAATAAATTTGTTTTATAAGTGGGGTGGGGCCACATGTAAAATGTATTAATGGTTTTACATTCTAATGCGTATTTTGGTCCCACATGTGGCACATATGTACATGTCAACCTAAATAATAATAATCATCATCATCCAAGCTTTGCATTTTATTTGTTGCACTTGTTTTTTACCACTCAAACAAACAAATGCAAAATTGTTTTATCAATTGCACCACATTCAACCATACAAGACAAGTGTAAATGTCAATGCAAAACTTAATTAGATTTGCACTTCCATGCGTTTGCATTAGTGCAAATATGACTTGCACTGCAAGCAAACGCAGCCTCAACAAGTTGGGCATTCATGATATCCGTACTCCAATTTGAGGGGGAGTTAATATAGTGAGAGGTCCACTCCAAATCATTATTATAATAAGATTGGTATAAGATGGGCTTCTTGGTAAGCCACTGTAAATATTTGTATTTGCATCCTTCCCAAACTAAGCCTTAAAGACCTTCAAAGCACTCAACTAAATGCACATATAATGAGTTGAACATCAGCCTATGAAAGACAAATTGAAGTCTTAAATCTTAATACAATGTTGGTTGCATGTCTGATTACATTTCCAGTATTTATTTTAACTATAATGCAAAAAAAGGAATCAAGAAAAAGATATTCCTCTCTTCTATCGTGGATGTGCACTATACACGAACCCAGTATACCTATGACATTGAATCAACGATACAATATTAGATCTGGCAAAAAGTTGACCCAGCCCGCAAATCTGACTCAATCCAACCTAAAAAATAGGGTTAGGATCTCATATTTAGCTACCTGAATGTGAAAATGACCCAACCCAAAAAAAACTGGGTTGGATTGGGTTGGGTCATGGGTCAACCTGCTGACTCAATTGTCAAGTCTAATTGAGACTATTTATACACTGTTAGAAGTTTCCACTCTTTAATTTTTTCTATTTAATCTTTACTCTTTAAATTGTTAAATATTCAAGTTTTTTTATTTTATATTTGAAATTTTAAGATTAGTTACTTTAATTTTGGTGTTTTTCATGTAGCTTTTCTTTATTTTTTTATTGTGATTCAGGTTAGTTGGCTAACGGCTAACCAATATATTGGCAATTCTACATTGGGTCCACAAAAGGTTTAAAATATTGATACAATATTAACAGTTTCCATGCTGAGCGACATGTGACACATACAGAATGACCCGATATTGATACCGTTCCTCGCATGTTCATCCGTATCGCCTATATCAGGTTTGTATCAGCTAATAAAGTAGTCAGGCTCATCTGGTTCAACCAATAGGAAATATACAAATCTATGAATAATGCTATGAATACAGGTTGATCAAGAAGAAAACGGACTATTCAACAGGGTTCTGCTTCTATAAGATGCACCAGATCGGATCTATGGTGTTTAATGCACATTTGTAAGGAGTTGGTCAACCCTTATGCTTAGCATTCCTCACAAACTATTAACATTTTGTCTAGTGATGGTAATTCCTCTAACTGAATAAATGCTACTTTAAACAGTCATGGAAAGCATGCTATTTTCTAGTTTATCACTCCTGCAAAACGCTTGGTCACTTTCTGACATTCATTGATTTAATAGCTGATGCCAACCAACTGGTTAGAATGATTTCACAACTAAGACATTTAGCCACTGGGTGGACCACTGCTTTCCAGGGGCAAGTGCTGCAAGCCGCTTGTAGAGAGAACTGGCGAATTTACACCAGCAGTGAAGAAGCTGAAATTAGGTCCTTTCATGGAAGACATGAATTTATGAAATTGATCATTTAGGCTTGCTTGCAAAAGTTGAGGAGAAAATTGATCAGGCCTTTCAATAACTTTAAGTGCAGAACTCACTGCAAGATTAATCTGCAAAAAACAGATAAAGAGGAAAACAAGAAGAATAAGAGGAAAAAATAAGTGATTATCGAAAAAGAAGAGGAAAAATTAAGTGATACTAATATGTTTCATGGTATCTGCACCACACGATTCAAAGTAAATATTTAGTTTCTTATATAAAGTACCAGTAGGGATAGACCAGAAAGGACATGGGTAGAAGTAGCAAGAAACAGGATATGTAGCCGACCTCATATGGTTGGGATAAGGCATGGATGATGATGATGTAAAGTACCAGTATCAGAACAATATGATCATAAACTCACTTAAGAAACAAGTTTTAGCTCCAAATATAATCTAAGTTGAAGATACATCCGTGCTTGACTCACTGAATAAAGTTTCAAAGTTGCTATCATTTAATAGCAAACTTTTTTTTTTTTTTTCATTTTTCTTCTAGTGGTTGCAATGAACGATCTTAGAAAAACAAACCCCATAGGGTTAAACAAGATGGGCAACAATCTCATTTTGATGATTGAAAATTGAACTTTCATTGGGATATAAAGCAAGAGTAAACTCCTCACAGAACAAACACAAAGGTTTCACTGACAAACCATAATAAATAAATAAATAATGAAAGATATGACCACAACCTATGACACCTGGAAACCTGTAAATAGGTACCACATCATGCTGGATACTTCGTTTGTTTTGTTTTGTTTGTTTGTTTGTTTTTTTTTTATGAATAGTCTGTCCATAGTTTTTAGTCAAGCGAAAAATCAATTGTCTACTGATTACCCCCCACCCCGCTGAAAAGAGAGGAAAAAAAAAAAGAGAAGACATTGTCCTTCATCTGATGAATCAAAATTAAAAGCTGATGATGTTCTTATTGTGTCAACTGGAAATTATCATCACAATATAAGCTGATCAAGATCAATAACCTTTCCGTTTCACTAACCAGATCCACCTTCAAGAATTCCCCAAGGCCAAAACCCCTGGAGTTAGTTCTACAAACAAGCACAATTGGTTGCAGAGGTGATCCTCTAAATTATAGCCTGCACATGCGAGTGATAATTTATTATCTCCTTTCCTAAGATTAGGACTTCCCAAAAAGACAATACTTTCCATACTAAAGAGAATGTAACTAAAAATTGTATTTCACATGCCCCTCACACCATCTGATATTGAATCATGCCTAGAGCCTTTGTGAAACCATCTCCTAGGTGGTATTCAGATATTAAATTTAGATCATGTTTTAAAAGGCTTTAAGATGAGGTGGAACCAAACTACCTAGCCTCAAATGCCTTGTCAATGGGCCAAGAAGCTACTGCTTCAATTTTTATGAGGTGGTTTATGGCTCACCGCCTCATGTCACAAATTGGTAAAGCATGCACCTCATATAAAAACAAGGGTAAATTGCATAAACCTCCTCTATAGTGTCTGACAAATGCTTTAACCTCCTATGAATTTTGACATCACCTCTGCAAAAACTTCCCTCCACATTTGGGGCAAACTATACCTGTTAACCCTTCCGCTAGGCTATGTTTGGTTTGAAGGAAAATGTAAGGAAAGGAAGGAAAAGCTAGGGAAATCTATACAAAGTTTGTAAAGGTTCCCCTACATTTCCCTACCTTTTCCTTCAAACCAAACACAGCCTTAATTTGGGTAAACAGAGAGTACCAAATTACGAAGTTGCCCCTATATCTCTATTTAGAAGGAAAAGTACAACTTTGTCTGCCAAACATCATTGTAGCAGCAGAGGACCTTCTCTACAGAACGACACTATTCCAATTAATAGGTTTGATACTACGTTTGTGAGCTCAGAAGGATGGTTGGGAGGTCTTCCAATAAACCAGGATCAGATATGTCTATAGACTACAACTACAAAGAGAGATTTGATACCCAACTGAGTATTGACTTGAATAAAATAGTTGGTAGTAGTCCACTTCAACAGAACCCCCTCCCCCCCCCCCCCCCCCCCCCCCCTTCAGCTAGTGTTATGCATCCTCATTCTTCTTAATACAAGACATCTTTCTTTCTTTCTTTTTTTTTATCAGAATCACAGAAAATCATTATTCAATCATATTAACTAAAAAAAGAAAAGATTACAACAAGAAGTTGTGACAAAAACTGTCAAGCTATATTAAAACTGATTTGAATCGTCATATCTTTTGATAGCAGATCTCCTAACCCGATTGATTTGACTTGCCATATCTTTTGATAGAAAATCTCCTAACCCAATTGATTTGAATTGTCATATCTTTTGAAAGCCATTTAAAGCGCCTGAATTCATTTCTAAGCTTCCAAACCACCATTCACCTTTCTTTAACCACCCCACTACCAGCTTTGAATCACCTTCAAGAACCAACCTTCCAATTCCTATATCTTTATCCATCTTTACCCCAAAAACTGCAGCAAAGAATTCTGCACTTAGAATCACCTTGCTCGATTAGGCCTGAATAAAAAGCACGTATAATACCACCCTCATCTCTTATCACCCCTCCAATTCCTAAAGGACCTGGATTGCCTAGACTACTACAATCAAAGTCCAATTCCAACCACCCACCCATTAGGGGAGACCACACCTCAAGGGATTTTTGATCCTGAGGAGGACCCAGCTCCCAAATCTTGAAGAAACCTTCCACCTTAAACTTCGATAACAACTTCAAGGTCTTCACTCAAAAAGCTACTCAGTGTTATGATTTCTATCAACACCTCTTTGTTCCTCTCCTTCTCAAAGCTTCTTGAGTTTCTTTCTTTCCATACTGTCCAAATCACTGCTGCCCGAGTGCACCTCCACCTCCATAGATCCTACATCTTCAAGAAATGCATCTCAACACAGAAAGGCTAAACAATCCTTCCAATCTTGAAGGAGGATTCCACCCGAAACCAAAAAGGGAAAAGAACCATTCCCAAATATAGAAAACAAAGGGACAGGAGATTAAGAATGGAAAGCAGTCTCACCATGCTACTTACATAAGAAACACCAGTTGGGGGATAAGGACCAGTCTGGTCTTTTTTCTCTGCACTGCAGCAGATCATAAGTGTTAATGCTTCCATGGAATACTTCCCAACAAGGAGCACTGACCTCAGGAGGAATAGGGAAACACCAAATTTGTTTTACAGGGAAGGAGGGAGAAGAAGCAGTGCAATAAGGGCCTTGAAGAAGGATTAACAAGAAAACACCCCAGCATTATTAAGGGCCTAGACTTGATTATCCAAACCCTCTACTTCCAAAACAATAGAATCTAGAAGGTGCATCAATCTAGACAAATAGGAGATTTCCTACTCCCTAAGATTCCTAGTGAGATCCAAATTCCAATTCAACCTAGTAGGCGAGGGATGAGAGAGAAGAAACTCAAACACAAACTTTTCTTCGAGGTTGGAATGAACAAACAGGGAGGGATAAACATCTTTTGAAGGAGACTCTCCTACCCAAACATCTTCCTAGAACCTTGAATAGCTTTCCAGGGTGCAGCAAGAGTAGCTCTGTGCAAACAACCAGCATCCCATCCATTGCTTGATAGCCCATAATACTTCCCACAACTTCTCATTTTCCATAGAAAACTGCCACAACCACCTGCTCAAGAGAGCCAAGTTTTTCTAACTCACATTACCAATTCCCAAACCCCCTTCTTCCTTTTAGTAACCTTTTCCCATTGGACTAAATGGTCTATTTTCCTTTCCCCTCGCTCCCATAGGAAGTCCCTCATTAACTTCTCAGTCCTTTTCAGAACCGCCTAGGGCATTGTGAAGACTAACATGAAATAGATTGGAGGTTAGCTAAAGTGGATTTAGTCAAAGTAATACTACCTCCCAAAGATATATAAGTCCTTTTCCACCCAGCTAGTCTCTTCTCAAACCTCTCAACTATTGGACTCCAAAAACTAATACAAGACATCTTACATAAAAAAGAACAAGAAAAACAAGATGAGATCCTGAACTATGCCTACTCTTGAGGAGGCTTACTCTTTGTGCTTGGGAGGCTTATGCCTCTTGCATTCTGAACCATGCCTCACATCACACCTTCGCATTTTAAAACATTACTTGCTTCTCATTCTAAATCCCCTTATTGCGTAATAGATTTTGGAGCTTCAAATCACATGACTAGATCTCCAGATATGATTAGGCCCTTATCCCCACCCTCTACATCATAGGTTGTTAACTTGGCCGATGGTATTGCATCTTCCATCTCAAGTACTGGAAATTTATCACTTAATTTAAATCTTACTTTGCCTTCAATTTTTTATATGCCTAAGCTCCTTTTAGCCTTACATCTCTCTATAAGCTGACCAAGACTCTCATATTGCTCAATTTCATTTTATTCTTCATATTGTGTTTTTCAGGATCACAAAATGAAAATGATGATTGGTGGAGACCATGAAGTAAAAGGATTGTACTATTTGGATGGCATTGTCATTTTGCTCATCCATCTCTCCAGGTCTTAAAGCAATTGATTTTGCCATTGAGTTCAATTACAGTGTTAGATTGCGAGTCATGTCAACTTAGTAAACACCATAGGGTGTCTTTGCCTTTCAATCTGCTTGACCCAGCTCGAAAAAATGGACCCTAGACCCAACTTCTTGGTCCATGTCAATTCACCATCCCCTTGGATTTCAATAAGAAAAAATATTTCCTTTTTCAAGAAGACTAAAATCACCACACTATCCTCTGGGTCCACCTGCCTTTTTTCAATATCCTCATGGACAATTACCTTTTTTCCCTTCCTATTGATCAACTCCCCTCTTCCCAAACCTCCAACTAGCTATTCACCTTCTTACCACCTTCTTTCCCATGTATCTGCCATTTTGAAACTAACCACCAGACCAAATGTTGGGTCTTCCCCCTCTATCATAATCCTCAGTTCACACAACTCTCCTGCAATACACAGGTCTAGAAACATCGGGATCTCATTAATGTCCTCCAACTCAAGATTCTCGTTGAATAAATTTGATTGCAAACTCCATTACATTGATCAAACCTCATGAACTTCTCATGTGGATTATCTGCTTTTTTTTCAGAATTTCCTTAACAAC